CCCCTCCCGTCAACCCATGGCTGTGAGCTGCTCCCTGAAAAGACATGATTCTTCCAAACTTCATGCCTACCTTGTGGGTCCTGGATGCCCAGGACTGGCAGGCACAAGCTATGGGTCAGGCCCTTGGCACCTCTCAACAATTCCCTTTCAGTTATCAGCTCCATGATGGAGCATGTGTCATTTGCCAAGCTCGAAGCTAGGGTTGGAGGTCTGCAACAGAAAGGAAGGCACACTGTGCTGAGGGGCTGGTGGCTATGGACAGGTCGCCAGCACATCCTCTCTGTGTACCTGATTGCTCCTGGGCTCAATATTCCTGGCACTTCAGTCTTGAAGTTCAGCCTTGTCTCTTGTCTTCACTGTGCCCCACTCCAAGTTGTCCCTACTCTTAAATCTTTGAATTATTTTCAGTTCCTGGACCTCTGCACACCCCAGTCCCTTTTCCTTGTTAGCAGAATGACTCCTGTCTTTCGTGAGTCACACCAACGTTCCTCTTTCCAGGAAGCTGTTTCTGGTAGCCACTTAGCTCTTAAGTCCCTAGGTATCTGGGGACCTGTTTGAGAAGTTCCCTGCTCTCATTCCTATCAGCACACCCATCACACATGACTATCATGGCCTCTTCACTTATCTGCAAGGGTCAGGGAAGTCAAGGATGAATGTGTCCTGCCACTGGGCATTATGGAAAGGCCTGATAGAAAAGCTAGGGCAAATTTGAAACTCAGGTTAAATACATGCTAATTGTGGTGTTTGCATCAGCCCATCTACCTCAGTCTTCCCATCCAAGGAAATGGGCAGAGTCAGACTTCGATACAACCTTGCATTAGAGAAAATTCATAAACACTGCCTATGCCATGGAGTATAGAGGCAGCTGAGTTAGGCTCAGGAAAGAGACAGTGCACACAGGACATAAGGAGAATTCATGAGCTATTTACAGGAGAATAGACAGGAATGAGCAGGGTCTGAAGGGATGAAGAAGAACTAGGCCACCAAGCAAGCTGGAAGTTTTGTCCTCCTCAGACCTGAAGGGGTCAGAGGCCAGTGGACCAGAGACTGAGGAGAATAGCTGTATCTGTGCCATCTGAGGGTGAGCATACAGGCCACCACTGACCCTACCTCCTGAGGCCAAACACTGTGCTAGACACGCTGAGGCATGCAAGCTACACACAGGATGACTGCTACTCTTGTCCCATTAGGTAGGCAGAAAACCTGAGGCTTAGAAAGATCAATCATTCTCTCCTGGTCTCACAGCAGGATCAGAGAGTGCGGCCCAGACCTTAGGGTCCTTTGACCCTCTGATCTCATGCTACTTCCTCCCACTGGCAGAGCTCAGTCGCAGAGTGGAGGGTGAGGCTGTTGCAGCAACAACCCACAGGGTAAGGTGGCAGGCAGTGGGACTGGAGAGTGAAGAAAGGGGGTCTGACAGAGTACCCAGCGAAGGGAGCTGCTGAGGCCACTCATTGTTGAATCATCAAGGCCTGGGACAATGGCTGACTCCTCGAAAGCAGCCTCAGATATTTTCCAAGTGAGTGAACGAACCACTGACCTATTAACTACAAATTAGAGCAGCATCACTCAGGCCCTAAGTAGCATATTTATTGACTAATATAATTGAAAGTATTATCTCTTTAAGCTTCTACTAATGGAGGAAATAGGTCACTCCTACGAGTTTTAATAATATTACATACTTGTTGAGTCAGGGAATCCTTTTTGACATTTATTCAGGATTTCTAGACTGTACAGAAAGAAAAGCAAAAACACTACAGTGTTATGGGTAGAAATGACAAAATAGAGTTTTGCACTCAGATTGATGTGTTAGGTACTTGGTGGTGACCCTGCACTTTAGGTATAGGGATAAGGCTCTGGCTTAAGACTAGATAATGGAGATTTGTGGGAACTCCATAGGATGCCCCACAGTTAGAAGCAAGATAGGGCTTAGCACTGGCCGCATACAAAACAGTAACAATAACTGACTTTTACTGTGTTTATTCACATGCCAGATCTTCTTCCAAGAAATAGGTACTACCTTGAGCCCCATTTTGCAAATGGAAGAACTGAGGTACAGAGTAAGTTGCCCAAAATCACTGTGATGGTTTGAGTGAAAATGTCCCCCATAGGCTCCAAGTGTTTGGACATTTTTGTCCCCAAATGGTGGCACTGTTTTGGGAGGTCTTAGAAGGTGTGGCTATCCTGGAGGAAGCACGTCACTGGGGGTGGGCTTACAGAGTTCTTAAGCCTTGCCAGATCTCCAGCCACTCTCTTGATTCCTGTGCCTGCGTGATGATGTGAGAGCTTATCTTCTGCTACATCTGATCCAGCCACTGCCAGCTGCCTCCCTGCCATGACAGACTGTAATTCCCCTGGAACCATAAGCTCAAATAAACTCTTCTTTCTATAAGTTGCTTGGGTCAGCGTTTCTATCACAGCAACAGAAAAGTGACTAATACAATCACCTAAGTTTAAGTGGAAGATCCCTGACTCAAGTATCTGGACACAAGCCTGTAACCCCCATGTTATTTCCTTTCATGAAAGAATGATAGAGCTGAGGTCTTGTTTTATGTGTGAGGTTCAGGGAGGTACTGTGACTTGTTAGTGGGGGAGTTCACATGGGAAGAGTGCGTGTTTCTAACTCTAAGCATCTCTTGGGGCAAGTCACTACGTAAGTATATGATGAGTAATCATCATATAATGGCACTTATGATTACACCTTTACAGACTCTTTTTTATTCCAAAATATTTTTATTTCATGGCACTTTTTAGAAGTTTTAGAAAATTCAATGTATTACCCTTTTATGTTTTTAATATGAGAGTTCCCCTGGATGCACATGAGCTGAGGGTTTATTATGTAGCTGATAGGCTTTGAGAACTGATTGGATCCTCCTGACTCTAACCAGGATTGAATCCATTAATAAGGTCTGAGTCATGATATAATGGAACTATTTGGAGGTTGTAGATATGCAGGGCTCATGAGCAAGCTCTGGGCTTTTGACCGCAAACTGAGGTCTTTCTCACCCTCTTTTCTCATATTCACAAAGTTGAAGCCTATGTAATGACCTAGTACTTTTTTAAAAAATTATTTTTATTGAGTTTTTGTAATTTCATACAACAGTTCTTAATCAAATTTAGGCCCCCTCCCCCATCCATTCTTCCCCCAGCCCCCCACACCAGACCTCATGTATTCCACCATACATGTTAATTCCTATCCATTCAGGCATTTGTACTCAAATGTCCTTCAGTGTAAATTCATCCACTGGAGTCTAGTCAGCCCATCTAGAGAGTGTGTGTAAGGCATACTCTCCCTCACCCAGCAGTAATCAGTCTCCAATAGTTCTTAGTCTCGTGCCAGCCTGACACCCATTTCTCTCCTCCTCTTTGGGCCCTTGTTCAATTAAGTTGGCATGGGGCCTGTGCTCAATGTCACAAGTTCACATGTGCAAGCTTCCAGTGGCCTGAAAGACTTTTAAGATACTGATGATCATTTCTGCCTTGATTCCTCTTCCATGTGAGGGCCACATAGATATATGTGGAGACCTCAGGAAATAACCTTTCACAGGACAACAGTGCCGACAGTATAAATGACAATAGTCTAGAGCAGGGCTTCTTAAACTTTTTCCACCCACAACCCCTTTTCACCAAGAGTTTTTACACAACCCCCAAGATCTATGTAAATAAGATAGACTTTAAAAAAAATCAAACATGTACTGATAATAAGTTATAAAGAAATTTCTTTTAAAACCAATCTATGATATACATGTGTATATATTTTCATAACTTTACCATTTATTAACGGGAAAAGGAAATTGGCATACTAATGAGACAGATGTACTTGTTTATTTTTACATAAAGACTAAATCTTGGCTGCGTGTTTGATACTGCAGGGCATAGAGTGCCTTCAACATTTTTCAGAGTTCACTGATATTTTTACTTTATTATCCTCAATGCTTAGAAGCCGCTTTGTATAAATACACAACACTAAATGGCAGACATATGTTTAGGGCCATTTCAGAAATTGTTGGGAATTCTGTCCTACTCCCAAGCCAAAATTCATTTAACAATTTTTATGAAACCCAAGTCAACAACTTAAATAGCAATATTTAAAATCAAATATAATAGCATAACACAATTCAAAGGTATATTAATTTGATACCTACAGGCTGAGGAACAATGGTGGGAAAATATTTAAAGTGTTTTCTGTAATTAAACCATTTTGTTTCTGTGAAACAAGAAACAAGAAACTTCGCATATACAGTAAAAACACTGCAATTGATAATCTACAGTAGTCACAGATTGAGCCACAGCATTTCAGAAATGATCATTATGTGACATATCAGCATACACAGTTTAAGTAGCTGAGTTCTGGGACTGGAGAGATGGCTCAGTGGTTAAGAGCACTGACTGCTCTTGCAGAGGACCCGGGTTCAATTCCCAGCACCCACATGGCAGCTACGAACCGTTCTTAACTCCAGTTCCAGGGGAATCTGAAGCCTTCTTCTGACCTCCCCGGCATTGCATGACACGGGTGCAGTCACATACATGCAGGCAATACACTCATACACATAAAATAAAAATAATAAAATTGAAAAAAAAAAAAAGAAGCAGCAGCTAAGTTCTAGACACTGCTGCTTCTGCTCAGGAGAGTTCACAGACTATCTGCGAACTCACACAATTCCTAATTCACAATCCACACTTCTTCCCACCTTCTTATGGGCTGGCAACTGAAGACTCAGGCACAGAGAAGAGAATGGTGGGCCAGCTACACCAACCCAGTGAGTGAATGTCCTCACTAGGATTTACATCTGGCTTTTTTAGGTTGACACTTCTAACTAGACTATTACAAATGGTGTCTTGCAACGTACCCACATCCTCTCTAGCAAAAATAATAACCACAAAGCAAAGGGAAATCATTTCTTATAAAAGCTTGCTCTGGCTAGATCTGGAAGGGACTGGGCTGCTTTGCAGCTTCTTAACAAGGATGGTAATAGATGTTATTACTTCCATCTTCCCAGGAGACAGGATGCTGTGAGGTTCCTGGACAGAAATAGAAGGGCCCTAAAGACTCACCTCTTGAGATCATGCCACATTTGTACTGAAACAGCAAGGTAGGGGATGTCTACCATGCTTGGAGGAGGATGAGCCTATAGTCTCTTGAAAGAGTGGTTGAACTCAGTCCTCCTAGGGAAAAGGAAACTCAATGTCACCTCAAGATGGTATTGAATTACATCCATCTGAGTTCTTCCTGTCAACAGGTGACCCAGAAGCCCTGTACCTTAGCTGGCAAGCGTGGATGGAGCTGAGAGTTTAAGAACGGCACCTGGAGAGAAGCAGAAGGGAGTCTGCATCCTGGGCCCAGCCCTTGCCAGCTGGTTGACCTAGAACACTCTGTACTACCACTTTATCATCAGTAAAGAAGGGGCATAATATATCAACATCATCCAATCTTTTTGAGGATTAGAGAAATTCTGGACTTTAGAGGCTCCAAACCTAAAAACTAGTAATAGCAAGAGTTATAAAAGGTAATCTTCGGGGGAGTATACTAAAGAGGGGCTGGTTATAAGCTGATGAGTTTCATGATAAGCCTCTTGACCATGGGCATGCATTTATTTCTTTGCTAAAAAAATATTTTGGGGCATGGCTGGAGAGATGGCTCAGCAGTTAAGAGCACTGACTGCCTGACTGCTCTTGCAGAGGACCCGGGTTCAATTCCTAGCACTCACATGGTAGCTATAAACTGTCCTTAACTCCACTTCCAGGGGAATCCAAAAATGCATTGCATGACACAGTGCACTCATACATGCAGGCAATAAATAATGAATATTTGGGGCATTTTCAGAGATAACGCAAGTTCAATACCATGTACAGTCAGTGCTTAGCAAGTGGTAAGAGCTTAATACACAGAGGTGATTTTCCATCTGTATTTTCTGAATTGTTCAGGAAGGGATTCAGGATTCTGTTTCAGCTGCTTACATCTTAAGGTTCAGAATTACAACAAAGAAAGGGGAACGGGCAGTCCTAAGCAGAACCCCTCTTGCCAAGCCCCTCTGCTTCCTTTCTAGTCTGTTCTATGCTCACCTCGTGGCTCCATCTTGCTAAAGAGGGTAGGTGGCACCTTATTGTACTCCTAACCTAGTACTGGGCTTTGCTACTGTCAGCCTCAACTGCCTTGGTCTCACAGGACTGAGAGAACAGAGCAAAGTTGTGAGACTCCAGCTCTGGCTTTCCAAGATCAGGGGGAGCCAGACTGACTTCATGTTTTAAAATGGATTTTGAGGGACCGGGGAGATGGCTCAGTGGTTAAGAGGACTCTTCCAGAGGAGGTTCACTTCCCAGCACACAGCTGCTGACAACCATCCATAACTCCAGTTCCAGGGGATCCAATGCCCTCTTCTGACCTCTGCATTGTATACATGGGTGCTCTTACATACATGCCTGCAAACATTCATACACACAAAATAAAGACAAATAAATCAAAAAGTTTTAAACGGTTTTTGAGCTGCTAAATGAGAAAAAAAAAAAGCCACACATCCCTACTTTTCATGAAGTTTGAGGTTACTCTTGAGCCCCTTGGGAATAAGATGAAGGGATATTAGATGATGTCCTTGGATAAACTCACAGGTCAAATTCTCACATCAAAACTGCCTTGAGTGGCATCATCCAGTATGCAGGCCTCAGAAATCGCATGGCTGTTTATGACCTACCATGACACGTGAAGGTGCTTTGCTCTACAAACCGGTGTCCTCATTGTAAAATGTGGGAGAGTAACCCTTCCTCATTGGTTTGTTTTGAGGATTATATGTGGCAATGTGAAGAAAATGTTTGGCCTGTGCCTTGTAAGCATTCAGTACTTATTTGCATTCAGGAAGCAGTTACTGCCATTTCCCTGTGGTCAGAGATGACATGAAGTTGAGGGTGACGGTGATGGATTAGGGTGTAAAATGATGGAGCCCATCCTCTGAAAGGTCTCAGACAGGAAGGATGGGCCGATTGTAGCAACTCAGAAAACAGCCTCAAACCCCAGGTGAACCTGTCATGTGAACTTGAGACATCACAGATCCTGGTGGTGGAGGCTCTGAGGACACAGATGCAGGAAGGGCCTCAGTGGGAAGAGGGATATAAACAAATACATCTTTTGACAGCATTGTGTCTGTTAGCTACTTTACTTATGCTGTGATAAAATACCAGGAGGAAACAGCTTACTGGACAAAAGGGTTTATTTTGTCAGAGGTCATGGTGGCAGGACCGGTCACAGCACATCCACAGTCAGGAAGCATAGAGAGATGAATGCTGGTGCTCAGCCCACTCTCCTTTTTATTCAATCTGGGACCCCAACTCGTAGGAAGAGTCTAAAAACCCCTTCACAGACATGTGCCCAGTGATGTGTCTCCTGGGTGATTTCTAAATCTAATCTATTGATGATGAAGATGAACCATCACTAGCATGTATAGAAAAGTGGGTGAGGCAGCAGATGCTCTTCTCTTCTGGGATCACAGATCCCCACACACAGACTTTTGCTCAGTTTGGAGTATTGTGGATAAAGTGGAACACCTACAAAAATAATGTGTCAAAGGGAAGTGGCCAGGACTGCAGACAATCTAGCACCAAGGTTGAGTTGGGAATACTGTTGGAGTTTTAGGTCAACCTGAAAAGCTTTTAGAACCATTTAGACAGATATGAAAATAAGACAGGTAGAGATCAAAAAACACACTGTATTGCTAATCAAAGCAGACTTGAGAAATGACCAAAGTCTGCTGGCTAAGTGACAGCTCTGATACTCCATACCTTCACCATCTCCATGCAAGAGCCCAGAAAAAAGACTATGAGACAGCCTTGCAGACTCTTAAAAGGAGCAAGCCATTGCTACACCCTGATGGGGACAGACAGACCAGGAAAAGGAACGTATCTACTACCATATCTGCAGGAGACTAACTCCACCAACTCAAGAGGGGGTTGCTACCAGCTCACTCACTCTGGGCCACGTGCCCTAGAAGAAAAGCAGGGAACCTGACAAGATAGGTTCCTGAGTATTGGGTAAAGATGTTCCCTCATGGAAAGAAGGCAGGGGAGGAGAAACAATCCCTCTCTCACATTTAAGAGGCTGCTGAAAATTTAGTGACCATGCACTTTGTGGACAAGATGCTCTTGGTCACTCATTCAGTGAATCATCAAATATTCATTGGTCAGCTGTTCTGTGCCAGCTGTTGTCCCCAGGCTTTGAGAGGCTGAACATGGAGATTCTTTCTCTTGGAATTTATATACTTTTGGTCTAGGGAGAGACAGAGAAAAAGTAGCAATCATCCTAAGAAGTATGATATGCTTTGCTAGAAAGTAGTCTTTAATGGGAAAAAAAGAATAACTTGAGATTTGAAAGATGTGAAGGAGTTAGTGGTGGGGCTATGTGGGGAAAGAGCATTCCAGGCAAAGGGACAGTTGGAACCAAGGCCCTGTGGCACGTGTGTGCCTGGGAGGACAAGGAAAACAAGGACAGCAGGGAGTACAGCAGAATGGCCATGAGTTCTGGGGGACCCTGGGGCTGGGTGGCATGGTGCCACAGGAGCAGAGACTCATCCCTAGCAACTCCATGATGACTGCTATCCTTATCATCCCTGTTTGGACATCAATAAACTGAAATTCATAGCCAAAATCTCCCTTTAATTTGCAGCTGAAAAAATTAATTCCAGAGAGGGAATGCAACTTGTCAGAGGCCACAAAGTAGGATAATGGTACTGGGCTGGGACTTGGGTCTCTTGATTTTCAGTCCAGAGCTCTTTCCTATCACATCTCTGCTCCGGAAATGAATTTCCTATGAAAAGGTGACTGAGCCTTTCTGGAAGATTTGTATATGGATCATGGTGCACTCAAAACTATGCTTTTAGGGCATGGCAGACTTCTACATTGAGGAGAGAAGTACTCTCCTAGCAAGGAATATGACATGGAATACTACTGTTTTCATGTTAAACAGTACACTAATAAATACAGAGTGCGGGAAGGGAGGCTACCAGCTTACAGGATGACCACAACAGCAATAGTATATTCTGACATGTACCAACTGCTGCCTGTGCACCTGGCACTGTTGTAAGCCGTTGACATGTGATAATTACTTATTCTTTACCACCATGTTAAGAAGCAGGTGCTGTTATTTCCCTCATTTTATAGAGGAGGGAACCAAGCTGGGAGAGCTGAGATAACTGGTCTAAGAGCATGCCATAAATAAGTAACTGAGCCAGATTGAAAGCTCAGGTGGCTGACCTCAGCATCTGCCCTCTGGACACCTCCGCACACAAAGATTGGCCAGACCCAAGGAAGACTGAACCAACTGTCAGGTTCAGGCTACCCAGAGCAAGTATCCATTTCCTGAGAGGTCTAGACTGTGGATCCAAGCCACCTTTCATTTTCTGCATCCTTTCCTGGAAGATGCCCCTCTTGTTACCTCCCATCCAATTCAAGGCCCTTTAGATTTCAACTGGTTAAGCAGCTTTGGGGTCCCTTGGAGAAGAGGTCAGCAGGTAAATATCCATTCTCATCCCCTTTCTGATGTACACTGCAATTGTTTTAAGCACTTTGAAGAATTTGAGTGTAGAAAGAAACCATCCTCAAGGATCAACAACAGACTCGGTGTTTGCTAACCTGTTAATAGTAACGATAGCGTTTATGTAGGGCTTACCTCCAACAGGCTCTCACATCCAGGTCTTGTATCACTCGGTCCTATAGATCTGGGAAGTTGGCTTCTCACCATGTATATCTATAAATGAGAAGCTAAGATGAGTTCCGGAAGGCCAGATGAATTGTTCAGCTACGTAACCATAAGGCTACATTCAGTTGGGAGTGGAGACAGACCCAGTCCAGATATAGCCACTAGTCTCTGCTGGCTGAACAGCCACATTCAGAATATAGCTCTAAAGATCCTGGAGGCAATGTATCAGAGCAGCCCTTCAACTCTCCTGTCTTCCTGAAAAGAAGTGTAAAAAGCCATGGCAGATTCCTTGGGGTATCTACTTAGACTCAAAAGCTATCAAAGAAGTCAGTCCCGAGGATTGGCTCTCCCCTCAAAAGATTGTTTTGATTCTCTGGGAACTGGCTGGCTGCGCCTGTTGTAATAAGTCAG